AGTTTTGTAGCAATGTAATAGTAGAAGTGGATCATAAGAACAGAGGGAGAGAACACTGCCCGTTAATGTACTTCAAGAAAAACAAGCAAGACAAAAATCCAATTTTTTTAATTGCACATTAAAGGAGAACTATGGGGTAAGTGTTTTTCCCCATAGTTCTCCTTTGGGTCACGGGATGACATAAACTAGCGTCCTCCCGTGACCCAAAGCTCAGTATATAGCAGGCTACAGCTCGCGGTATACTGAGACCGCTGCAGCCGGGACGGATCCCGACATTACTGTCGAGATCCACCCATCTGCGTGAGTGACAGCTGGCTCTGCCTATCTAGAGTTAGAGCCAGCTGTACCCGCCCCCTTCGCGTTCATTCCCCCAGTCAGCGCTGGAGGATCGGGGAGGGGGGAATCCCTGCAGGCAGCCGTGAGTGACAGTCACGGCTCTCTGCAGGGACAGGATCGAGAAGTGAGCGAGCGACGGTATGTGTTCGCTCACTTAGCGATCTATTGAGCCGACGTGTGACAGTTTCATTGTCACACGTCGGCTCGAACTATGAGGCTGAGTGAAAATCACTCACCTCATAGTTTTCCTTTAAGGGACACAGGATGAAGTATTCTGGTACATTGGGACATCCAAAAGCAATCCAGCTGAGGGGTGGGCAACACAACAAAACAAACCACTAATATGCGCACAAGAACCAAGAAGTCAACAGAGTAGGCTCAACAAAGCCCACAGAGCCACCTAAATAACCTTATGGCTTATGACGGCATCAGTTGAGGCCTGAAACCCACCTGGTAAAACTTAACAAACGTGTGAACCGAGATCCAGATGGCAGACTTGCAAATCTGAGAAGCAGATGCCTGATGCTGAAAGGCTCAAGAAGCACTGGTGTTAGTGTAGTGTGCTCTGACAGGGAAAGGTGGAAACTTGTCCTTAGGTCTTTAGCCTTAAATGATGTGTTGTTGTACCCACCTTGCAACAATGAAACGAAAAGACGGCTGTCCCCTACGGGGACCTTCAGGAATGACAAACAGAGTGTTAGACTGCCTGAAGGGGGCTGAGGCTGAGAGATACACTTGAACAGCATGTACCAATTCCAGACAATTAAAAGGAAATCACCTCTGGATATTTTGGAGAAGAAAATAGAGAAGGAAGAATGTCTGGGTTAAGGTAAAAGGAAGAAACCACCTTGGGTAGACAATATCGTCTCTGCGTAGCATGAGAAAAGGTTCCTTACTCAGAAACTTGCCTTGCAGAGGTGATGGCGATGAAGAAAACAACCTTGTGAGTAAGAGAAGACAGAGCAATATCCCTAGAAGGTGTCGGTGTCACCTTGTAGTGTCACCATGGTGTCAATGGATAACAATGTGAGCAACACCCTGTGTGAAGATCTTCACTATGGAGTGAGAGACAAGCAGTCTCTGAAAAGAACCACTAGGGCCAGTTTTGACCAAATGGTACTGTAGGCCAAGTGTTGATCGAAACCAGACTGGGGAAAAGACAGGATGCCTCTCACAGAGTACTTCCTAGGATGGAAAATCCTAATCCTAACAAGCAAAATATACACTCCAGGTGAGATGGTGAACTTTACAGGAAGTTAATTTCCTGGCCCTCAAAAGCATAGGGATAACCGATTTAGACAGGCTCCTATCCCTCAGGACCTGGGCTTCAACAGCCAGACCTTTAAAGCCAGCGACTGGAAAGCAGGATGGTAAACCAGTCCCTGGGACAGAAGATCTGGACATTTTGGGAGGGCTTGAGAGTTTCTAAAACACATCAGGGTGAAGGGACCACAATCTGGAGTCCAGATGAGATATTATAACTACTAAGGAAGTCAGCCTGACAGTTCGCCTGGAATGTACATGGTGGACAGGGCTGGAATGCGAAGTTTTGTCCATGCCAGAATCTGATTGGCTTCTTTTTGAAACTTCCAGGTTCTCCTTGATGGTTTATATAAGCTACTACCATGGTGTTGCCCAAGTGTAATATGGTCAGATGATACTACAGTTGAAAAGTCCAGAGTTGAAGGGACCTTCAAAGTGCCCTGAGTTCCAGAATGTTGATCGGGAGGTGAGCATCCTCCTGCAACCAAGTCCCTTGCACCAAGAGAGTATCCAGGACATCAACCCAGCAAGCCTGGTTTTGTGGGTCAGGTATATGAAACAGTTCAGTGACTGAGCCTGCTTGTCCCACACTGCCAGAATGTTGTGTTGCCATAATCTGGAGTAAAATTATGCATATGGAGCTGCTTCGAAAGTGGTCCAGAGCCCATGTGTAAAATTGGAGGGTCAGTTGGCTCCTGGACAGTAGAGTCTGAACATGGGAAGAAAGAGTCTGGAGTTTGTCCTGTGGAAGGAAAATCTAGGATAGAGCTATGTCAGGAACAGGCCTAGATAATTCAAGCCATGAGATGTTCCACCACAGACTTCAGAAATAAACTCTGAAGGAGAGGGCATTGTAGCACATTTGTGGCCCCTGCATTCAGGGTCAGTTATCATGAATAAAACTGTTTCCAATAAAATTGGACATAAAAGTTAAGAATTTCTCCCTGCATAAGACCGAGGAGAGATTTACTCCAAAAAGGAGCAAAGGGAATAGTGATCTGGGCCCCTAGGATGATCGCTGTAAGGTAGCAGAGATTGTGGAGGCGACCATCTTGGTAGAGGCAGGGCTTTGCTTCCTAATGTCAGAGCCTTCATCAAAGAGAACAAATAGCAGCACATTGATGACATCACCAAATCTCACTTCAAATCTCCTGAAACCAGCAGTCAGGGGCAGCAGTGCCCACACTGCAGATATGCAGAAATACAGCTATGAGGCTGTAAGTACAAGAGTGCCTAAGAACACTAACATGCCAGGAACTGCGCTACTATTTTTCAGGACAAAGTCAAGACAAAGGGTAACTTTTTCTGGGATGTTCTTAGCAGGGGCGTCTCGAGGCCGGGTGTCACCCGGAGTGGAGACTGGTTGACACCCCGCCTCGACATCATCGCGCATTCGCGTGACGTCACCACGCGCGTGCGCGATGATGTAATCGCGCATAATGGTCATCTAATTGACGCCTGCCAGCTGACATCTTGATGATGGACGCCGGCAGAGAGAGGAGGGGACGTTCACCTGGCGGGATGAGGTATGCTGCTGGGTCTCCTCTTCTCTCCTGACACTGTCGGGCTCTCAGTCCATGACCGAGTGCCCGACTTTTTAGAGGGGGTGACACCAAAATGACTGTCAGTCATTTTGGTGTCACCCCTCCAATGGTGTCACCCGGGTGCGGGCTGTACTCCCCGCACCCTCCTTGTGACGCCACTGCTTCTTAGGCGCAATTAATATTTCTAAATGTTCCCTATAACATAGCAAATTTTCATTGTTTTTTTTTAGTTCAGCTCCACTTCCACAAAGAGTTTCCATCCTGTCTGGCCATTTTCTACTTAAATGTTATTAATAGTTACTATTCCAAGTCAATCTGCTTTTATAAAACTGGCAAAAATTCTGTTTCCTTGTAACCACGGCAACACCAGGGGCATCTATATACGGTGTACACCTCCACAACACCTCCAGAAACGTTATCCCCAACTGCCTCTCCCTGGGATTTTTCCCTTTTGTACAACACTACACCTGGTCATGTGACAGCAGGCAGCCCCTCCCACTTAGCACAGGGGAAGTAGGAAGTGACTGAATTGCAGGAGTTCATACCCACAGAACAGGTACAGCTAAGAGTCTGCAATGATTTGTGATAAAAATCCTTGCAATGTGTAGAAGTTATGCGGTTATTTTTTTTTTCCAAGAAAAATGTAGACCGTTTGATGTTTTTTAGATGTGCAAGAAATCAAATTAATGTAAATAGTCATAGCAAAGTATGTTATATTTGCTTCTATGTATAGTCTTAAATGATGTATGTACCTGGGGGAAGCCCTAACTGCTCATTCTATTATTTTATTTCAAGTGTAACAAACCGTGTTTGTCAGAACACAACAGGCTAGCTGTCTCTAATGACTTGAAATATCCACAATGTGCCGGTAGCCAGAGGCCATGTGATCTTAACCTTGGCAAAACATCGACCATTTTTACATAAAGAGACGCTTTTACCTTGTTCATACAGGAGAGAGTGACAGTGTCTCTGCAAATCTGCCAACCCTCCATCCCCGACAGCATTATACCTTACCTTGCCGGTACTCCCTAGCCACACCTTCCTCCATTGCAGCCAAAATACTACCAGGTGCTTTTAAGTATAGGGGAGCATGGTACCCGCTCTCCTGTAACAATGCTCGAGGCTGATAGCCAATCTTTAGGCTCGAGCACTGTCACATGACCGATGAGGTGATTTCATCTGTCCCCAGGGTCTTTCGGCTGCAGGGGAGGCTGGATCGGTGAGAGAGTGCAACCAAGGTGAGAATAAGGGGGTTGGGGGGGCCATCGAGACACCATCACATTGTTCTGCATGGGCAAGGTGACAGTGTCCATTTCAATCATTTGATTTGGTAATGCCGACAACTGCCCTACTGGTAGATAATAGTTTTTATTAACAGGTCCACTTTAGGTATGTATTATCTGTTTATATCACACACTATAACAGTCTCTGCAAGTGCTCCCTCACAGCTCCGGCCTCTGAGCAGCTAGCACTGACATACAAGATGTCAGCTGATCTTGGACACTGAGGGCAATGGTGATGTCATTCTCCTGGTTATGTGACAGCACTCGGATCCACTAGCTGCTAGACCTAAGGTCCCATGTTCCCCCATACCCAGAAGCACCAGGCATTGTTGCCAGGTCACGGCAGAGGAAAGAGTAGGGAGGGAGCACTGGCAAGGCAAGTAAAACTGGTGCAGGGCACTTTGCAAACACACTGTCACACTACCAGAAGTACTCACTGCTACTCTCTGCAAGAGCCGTACACCCTGAATCTTGCCTGATACACAAATGGTGCTCAGATCAGGTTGGGATGGGACCTCTTAAAATGTGGCATGCAAGTAAAAACAGCAAGAATTGTATATGTAAATAAAAGTACCTTGGCCTTCCCTGTGCTCTGCAGTATATGCACCAGCGCACAGGCCACCTCCTCTTTGCTCTTCACGCTCAGCACTGGCTCGAGCACGGCGCACAGCATCCGGTAGTTGTTGGTGACGTACTCGGCAAACTCCTTGTACAGCTCCATGGGAAGGATGCTCATGGTTTGGTATCGGGATTTTAGGCGGATTGAGGGACAGCTGCTCTTCCCCTTGTAGGAGGTGGGCTGGGACACGGGGTACCACTGCTCCACAAAGTGGCGCCCGCTGATGCTGGCGATGGGCACGTTCACCATACCCACGTAGTTGCTCTTCTCCTTGCGCCTCTTTTTGTCTGTGTCCTTGTACAGGTGGAGACGCAGGTTCCGCACCGCTGGCAGGTTATTGAACTCAAAGTGCTCCCCCCAGAAAACGGTTTCACTCCGGGCTTTGCTGGTGGTACGGGCGTACAAGATGTCATCCAGGCACAGCTCGCAGTAGTAGCGCTTCTTAGGGGGGAGGTCACGAGCTTCAATAATCCACAACTTGAGGACATTATCTACTCGACGGCTGTTATCCTGTAAGGGAGAAAGAGGGAACGAGTCAGCATCTGTAATAATTCAGGAGTACGAAGGAAGAGAATGTTCTATAAGTAGATGTAAACACAATCACTTAAATCCCATATACACTTTCACATGTTAATTGCAAAAGTCACATTCAACCTTTTTAAATCTGCAGCTTTGAGTGCCCGGTCACACCATCAAGAGTGCGTTTGGCCTCTGGAACGCACTGGAACGCAACCCGGCCGGCTCGCTTTGTTTTGGGCGGGAGGGGGCGTGGCTGCATTGGAAGGTGACTGGTTGCGAGCGGCAACAGACACCTCCCTTTGCACTGGTCTCCATAACTAACAACCTGCTGCATTCCGGTCCAGTGAGATCTGCATAAAATAGTGCATGCAGCATTTTTTGCAGATTGCACTGGACCGAAACGCAGGCACTAATGTGCCACGCTGTCGGGTGCCAGCGATCGCATCGCAGGCAGGGGGCGTGGCTGCGGTGCCATTGAGTTAAATGCACCGCCGCGCCCCCTCCCGCCCCAAAACAAAGTGAGGCGGCCGGGTTGCGTTCCAGTGCGTTAGAGAGGCCGAACGCACTGGAACGCACTCTTGATGGTGTGACTGGGCCCTGAATAAGGTAATACCTGATGATGACCCTGCTATGAAGGTCCTTGTTTAGGCACTTCCTTTTATAAGGTGACAACACTCTGTCACTGTCTGCCAATTGTTCTCCTGGCTCATGGGCTTCTGATGGAGACTAGAAGTGGCTGTTTTAACATACATTATGCAGCCATGGTCAGCTGTTGTCACCATCAGAAAACAGAACCCTGCTGGAGTGCAAGTAGACAGAAAGTGGCTCCAATTAGGAGATATCAACAGCACTGAGATGCAACAAATGATAAAAAAGACTGTTTTATGTAAAGAAATTTAATTATGTATGATATACTTTTACTAGCTAAATGCCATTTATTTAGGGTTTGCATCTACTTTAGGGATCAGAGGAAAACCTGTTAGAAGTCAGCTCCATTCTAATGTTGAATGGCGAATACCACACACTGGTGAGATGTCTAAAAAACTGTAAAAGAAGCAATAATACCACCTTGAGGAACGTTCCTTCTGTGCCAGCTAGTTCCTTTCAATTCAGATAAATCTTAGTGCAGGACCACAAGCTTTCGGCCAAGGTCTCGCCAGGGGATAGAGACAATATTTTCAGTCCCACAAGGTATTTATGTACACTATAGGGCCAAAAGTAAGTACACACCCCTCCACATTGAGTTCAGGTGTTTCCAGTGACGGGTACTGTTAATACTACAGCATACAAAGACATTTTAGACAATTGTGCTCTTCCAATCTTGTGGTAACAGTTGGGTGAAGGCCCTTTTCTGTTCCACCACGACTGTCCCCTGTGTACAAAGCCAGCTCCATATAGACATGGCATGATGAGAGTTTGAACTAACTCAAGTGGCCCCTACAGAGCCCTGACCTCATCCTTATTTTACATCTTTGGGATGAATTGGAACACAGATTGTTAGGCTCCCACTGGGCTGCACCCCTGAAAGTGGTTCCATTGGCCTTGTGGCCTTTTTAACTACTGAAAACTCAATAAAAACTTTTAATAGCCCCCCAAAAAAATGTCAACCGTGTTGCTGACACAAAGGGCTTGAATTACCCTATTCCTCATAAAGGTCATTATGCAATTGTTCGGTACAACCCCCAAAAACCTCTGACGTCAATGGATTTAGCAGGTTCAACAGTCCGCATGATCAAACGTAGGCTTGGACTATAAGATGGCTCCTTCTGTGGTAATGCAGCTGGTAGACTCTCATCATCACACTGTGTATATCAGCTCAGTCCCTTCTCCCTGTTTCCCAGAGCTGATCTTTGATTCTTGGCTGCTGCATAATTACTATTATATACTGTTACTTAGCAACTCTACAGAGCTCATATACTGCACTTATATTCTTTGAGGAGAAACACTAGACTTTGCCATGCACAATCTCCTAGGGGGAGTTTTGTTAGTTATGGAGACCAGTGCAAAGGGAGGTGTCTGTTGCCGTTCGCAACCAGTCACCTCCCGATGCAACCACAGGGCCTTTCTCATGGGAACTGTCATCATTGCACCATAGACACCATAGACACCAGTCACATTAAAGCCTGTACTGGAAACGACAGTCAGAAAGTTAAAGTCTATCTAAATGCAAAGCTTTGATTTTAGTTTTGGATAGAGCAATGTGTCCACGTTGGGTTGAGTAACCCTCTCGTTTTCTCCAGGTGACCATTGCCCCTGGGACAGGAAATTATAGGGCATTTACAGTTGTCACCAGAACAGGAATGGAAGAGAACTCCTCCAATTGGAACACCCATTCTGTTGACAACTGTCTCAGAGTTCTGTCAATTTTAAGAGATTTTCTCTCATTTCCTGCTGTGTTTTCGTGGACAGGAAGTAATGGCAAAAAGACTTATGGCTTTAAATAAAAAGCTTTATATATTCATTTGTTGTGGTTTTGACGGGGTCATACAGACAGTTCTCAGTAATGTGTATCTAAACCCAAGAAAACATCGTTTAAGATATTGCCGTTACTAGTCCTTACATGTGATGAATGCATTCATTTCCTGTTTTTAGGTCAAAACCTGGTACTGCTGGGAAAACACACTTCCTGTTCTATGGAAGGAGCCATGGTTGTCACATAGGTTGGACTTTAAACATGTCTGCCTTTGTTCATCTCCATTACATGGTGGATTCATGGGACAAGTAGTTTACTTGCCCTCTTTATTGGCCTACCTCTACACAGGCTATCTCCCATTAGTCTATACTGAATGCTGCCGCCAGACTAATCCACCTTACCAACCTCTCAGTGTCCACCACCCCTCTCTGCCCATCCTTCCACTGACTTCCAATCACCCAATACATAGAATTCAAAATACTTACAACATACAAATTCCTCCAGAATTTTGCCCCTGGCTACATCACCAACCTTGTTTCAAATTATCACCCAAACCTAGCTCCCTCATCACCTTCTCCCATGGCCTCCTGCTCTCTAGCTCCCTCATCACCTTCTCCCATGGCCTCCTGCTTTCTAGCTCCCTCATCACCTTCTCCCATGGCCTCCTGCTCTCTAGCTCCCTCATCACTTTCTCCCATGACCGTCTGCTCTCTAGCTCCCTCATCACTTTCTCCCATGACCTCCTGCTCTCTAGCTCCCTCATCACTTTCTCCCATGACCTCCTGCTCTCTAGCTCCCTCATCACCTTCTCCCATGACATCCTGCTCTCTAGCTCCCTCGTCACCTTCTCCCATGACCTCCTGCTCTCTGGCCTTCTCATCACCTTCTCCCATGACCGCCTGCTCTCTAGCTCCCTCATCACCTTCTCCCATGATCTCCTGCTCTCTAGCCCCCTCATCCCTTTCTCCCATGACCTCCTGCTCTCTAGCTCCCTCATCACTTTCTCCCATGACCTCCTGCTCTCTAGCGCCCTCATCACTTTCTCCCATGACCTCCTGCTCTCTAGCTCCCTCATCACCTTCTCCCATGACCTCCTGCTCTCTAGCCCCCTCATCACTTTCTCCCATGACCTCCTGCTCTCTAGCTCCCTCATCACCTTCCCCTATGCTCAACTCCAGGACTTCTCCAGACCCTCTTCTGTACTCTGGAACTCCCTACATCAAGCTGTGCGGCTATCTTCTTCCCTGTCTGCCTTTAGGCAATCCCTGTAAACTCATCTCTTCAGAGAAGCCTATCCCACCTCAACCTAAACAACTGAACTTTTACTTTCTCCATCAACTCATCCCCTCAAAGTTATTACCTTTTGTATCATTGGCCCCTCCCTTTTAGATTGTAAGCTCCCACGAGCAGGGCCCTCCTAATCCTCTTGTCTTGATTTGCATTGTAAATTGCTGCACAAACTTTTGGCACTATATAAATCCTATATAATAAAATATATAGAGAGATAACATTGTTTATGCTGTTTTTTCGGGTCAGAGTAAGCAACAAGGACATGGCATTTCTTGCAGGATCAACAGGTATTTCCTGTACCTGCTAAAAGGGTTCTTAGCTTAAAAAAAAGAAAACAAAATTCAGCCACCACATCTAAGGACCGGACACTTTAAAGGTGTCTACCGATTATAAGGATATGTTTGCCCAGTCTGGTCAGTTATGGTTGGATTGGGAAATTATCTCATGTTCTCTTGTATATCTCCTGGTCATTGGACAAAACTATTGGCTTGGATACATTTTCCCAGCTGTTTGCTAATGTTTTCCCTGAGACATGCTGAGGTGCTCTGCTTTTCCCTTATAGGGTAAATCATTCATGGCTGCCCGATGCTAACATGCTGTTTATAAAGAGATCTATAGTGGCTGATATGTGGATTTGGTGCCTATAGGTACCACAGTGATCAATAAAGCCCCTTGCTTACACCGTTGGAAAGAAAAGACAAACCTATAGGGTTTAGATAAAGACCATCAAATTCTGAAATGAGATCCACCGATAGCTACAAGTAACAATCGTTATGGCAACTAACACATGCGTTATAGCTTAGTGAATTGAGCACAGCTTCAACCCCGGGCTCATAAACATTATTACTGTTCTATCAGAAGGAAGAAACAGTGATGCAGTAGGGAAGAAATCCTTCTTGAGCACATTAACAGCAGTTAAGTTAATTCTCTCCATCAATCATGGATGAATCTCATTAATTATAACTGGAGTTGTCATTACAAGGAAGAAATATATCATATCAAGATTTTAAAGCAAACCACTTTGAACTTTTAACTATATTAAGAGTATACTATAGACATGTAAGCAAGCAAAAAAATTGTTTTGTTTAGTTTAAATTTGTTTTGAATGTTTCGTTATTTCATTTTCAGGTTTTGGGTCTAAAGGTCAAATCATTTCGGCATTCGGGTTCGGATTAATCCAAATTTCGTTCATTTCGGATAAGTTAAATGATCATTGCCAACTATAATTCATTGCATAAAAGTGTCAATACATGTTTACTTTGTTTCTTTTTAATTCCTGACACCACTA